CAATAGCCATCATGGCTGATTGGGCCCATTCCAAATAGTTTGATCCATCAAATCTTACGGTTGTAATCTGAAAACCTGTCTCAGAAACACTACCAGAACTGTTGTTCCCAAAATTGCCTTCTTCCTGATTTTTAAACTCCATTTCGTTCAAGAACCAGTAGTCTCAAAAATTAGGGTTACTACAGTCGAAGAATAGCACTTGGACTATCAATCACAATCCCAATAAAAAATCAATATAGAACTAATATGTATTCACGGTATATGTGCATGAAACCAGTATAAGTTTGATCTGAAACCAATTAGCAAACACAGCAGTAACAGTCCGTACAGTTTTCACCCCTTAAAAGATCTGATATGCTGAACCAGAATTAGGGTTTTAATCAGTCCTTAAAAAAAATTCTCAGCCGCACATTCCAAGCAGTACCGTACAGATAAGACTTGTAGTAGGGTTAATATGAAACCCTAAAACTGATCAATGCTGAGAAAAAAACTTAAGAAGAGCTTCACAGGTAGATCACAAGGCTTGGCCCAGCAGTAGGGTTTGCAGCAAGATTAGTAGGGTTTGCCGCAAGATCAATATCAAGCCCTAGAGAATAGAAAGAAGAAAACCCTAGAATGGTTCGGTCGCCCTTTCTAGATAGGTCCAACCTATCTTCTCTGATAGTACTTCTCTTAGAAAATAAAATAACTTACAAGAGAATGTTGTTCACTACCTTCCAAGGTTACCCGAACCCTAGCCTTCTCTGATTCTTCCCGATCACCAACACTTTGCAACCGTGGCAAGTCTTCAACAGCTGCTAAACCCTCTGGTGATCTCCAATAATCAGTCAACGAACTCTACTTTCTCAGCTTCCAACCCTAGATGGTTCTCATGTGGTCGGTTGGACTAGACTCACATGAGAAACCATAACCTTGCTCTGATACCAAGTAGAAGTTCAAGACTGCTATCAGCCTTGAACTCTAATAGATTTCAGGTTCGAAAAAATGAGGAAAATGTAGAGAAGAGAAGAGAAAGAGAAGAGAGAAGTGTAGAACACAAAGGGTTGAAAGGAGGGACAGAATCTGAATGTTCTGCTGCCGCCACTTCTATTTAGTATTTATAGGTTATGCTCATTACATGGANCACTTCTATTTAGTATTTATAGGTTATGCTCATTACATGGAAAGGACAGATCTGCCCTTAGTATTTACATAACAAATAGAACAAAATAAAACTGAAATAACCAACTAACCACCAGCTAACCCTAGGATGACTAGAACACAGTGGGACCATAGCTGTGGGGCCCACATCAGTGTTCTCTACAAAAATACAAGGAGACAGGAAAGATAATAAAAAGAGTTCGTCCTGATCAAGATACTTTTGGAATTATATTTCCGGGTCTGTTAAATAAACACCATGTAAAATGTAATGTGAATAGAAAAGGCACCCAAATTTGTTTTCATATAATTGCTATGTTTTGATTTAAGAATGAGTTCCACTTCCATTGATTGTACAAGCAAGAAAGTTCTTGTTTCTGCTACTTTAATAAGAACATAAGTTTAACAGCAACTGTGGTGTTTTAAATTATGAAATTTATTTTTATTACAATTTCATATCCTAAAGAAAGCTGGAAACAGATGAAGAATGTTTAATATTGAAATTATTCTACCTCTTATAACATTTGCTTGAATAAGTGAAAACTCTGCTAAGAAAAAAATCAAAAGATACCATAAAATCCTTACAATGCTAGCATATAACATCAGTCTAGGTCCACAAATTTATCTGTTCAAAGCAAAAGGATGAAAGATGTATAGGACACTGGCCTGACATAGAAGGAATAGGGAATTTCTGACCCTCCACAAGATCATAGAAACTAGATATGGTTTCACATCTCAGTGAGTAATAAAATGGTAAACTGTTTCTAGGTTCCCTTCCAAGCCTTCCCTCACTGTGTCATCGAGAGTTTGGCAGAAGATGGATCACATTTCTACATCCTTGTAGCAGTCTACATCCCTACCTCCCAGACTTATTCTAGTTAGGAGAATTCATTACATGGGTTAGCACCACTGATGCAGCCCAGGGGACTCATAGTGAGACCAAAGACACCAAAGGCATTGCAAGACCAGGAAGAAGGCACCCTGAAGCTGCAAAGTTGGAAGGAACCCATGGCATACCTCAACAGGATCACAGACTTACAAATGACCAAGGAATTGCCGTATGCTGTGAACATGGCACCAACCACCTCTGGGCACAATCTTCCGACAGCGTATATCACATTGATCGCATGTGCCTGGAACCGACAGCTGACACTGATAGGCTGCCCTGCCGAACTGCCATTTTTAACAGTTTCTTCTTTTAGTTAACTTGTTCCTGTTTTTGTTACCTAGCACTTCTGCATTCTATATTTGTACAATGTTTTAGGTGCCAAAGAGCGTGAACCTTTTCATTTTGCCAGAGTATAAATACTGGCCTTTGCTCTTTGTAAGGAGACTTTTTTGGAACTCAAGTTTGAACAAACATAGTCCATTATTGAATGGAAATATTTACCAACAAAAGTCCAAAAACAACAGATCTACGTGCAAAAGCTTCCTAGCAACACTATAAGGACTGCCAAAGGTGGATAAATCTGGATACTTGGGCTTTAAAACACATAGTTGCACATCTTCACCATGTGGGTGAATCTGCCAGTCCTTCAATTGGATTTCATGTGGTAATTTGCCAGGCACACGGAGAACATTGTCCAAATTTTCTGAACTAAGAAGAAAACTATGCTCTTTTAGACAGCAGTGTCTTTGTACGGTCAAAATATTCCCCTAGAGATAACTTCTTCCCTTACCAAAATTGTTGTGACTATGCTTGACACCCATTGTCGCTCATTAAAGAACAGAATATATCAATCCACAATTGTCCTACACGTGTCGCGCATATATGATATGGTTATAAGTCAATGCATCCAAGGTTCAGTCCTCGGACAAAACAATTGAGACATAAAAGCTACACTGCATGAAAACGAAAGCACGAACTATAATTACGAATTTTTGGGGAATAAAATTTGAGCAATTTACCCAGAAGTAGCTGATCAAGACACCGCACTTTCTGTTTATTAAACAAATTCAACAACTATGTGAACATTCTCAGCCCCAATTGCCCTAATTAATCATCAAAATTTGATTCTTCTAAAGCTACGATTTAACAATGAATTTACTGCAAATGGTGCATTGAAACTAAATTAATTTCGATCAATTCCTTGCAAGGTTATAGAAACCAAGCGAAAGCAGTATAAGTAAATGAGTAAACCGTCATATCGATTAAAAAAGGGGAAGTTCTCGTCTACAAACTACAGATAAACGGACCTGCTTGAGAAGATTATCTGCGATCCGATAGTAATAAGCAAGGGAAAGCCGTTGATCGACGTCAACCTTCCGAGTCATAGCATTGATATTGATGGGCCTCCCGAGAGACCTCATCGCTTCCGGCGAGAATTACCGGTTCCCAGCAACTTCAGATCAGTTAGAAAGGAAAAAGTGTAAAATAGTTTCACGATGTCGCTTCCATCGGTCGGAAAGCCGCGATGCCGGGGGCTTAATAAAAGGCTAGGTGAGTAGTGCTGAATTTTTGCCGCGTAAACACGCGTGCATTGGGGTTGGGGGTAACCGGGTAAGGACCACCGTTTTTTATCTCTCTCTTTAATGGGCTACACAACCAACCAGGGGATTAGGCCGTTAGGCGAGTAGCCCGTCCCACTGATTTAAGACTTGGACCGGGCACAAAACAAGAAAGCTTTTCTGGTCACGAACCAAACGGTTCGATCGATGGGTCAAATGGTTTGATCGTGAATCGAAAAAAAAAAAACATCAAATATCTCTCTCTCTATCTATCTATCAAATGAAGGAAGTAAATATTTTTTTCCTTTTCTTTAATTTTTTAATTTTTTTAATCCACGTTTTTATGAATTTAACCAATTAAATTCTTACACTTGAACCATTTTTGCCACATCGAATGGCTTTCAAAGAGCCATGTTTCGTGACAATTGTATGAAGGTTTATCATGTCTGATACCTCTCCTAGATCATGTCCAATTGAAACACAATCAGCCGATCTAAAACTTTCTTCTTCTATTTTTCAAGTCAGTTTTTTTTTTAATTCTTTTTCTTCATTTTGTTCTCACGATCAACACCTATATCTCTTTTTTTTCTTTTTGTTTTGTTCTTTTTTTTTCACGCCATACCTTTCACGGTGGTGGAAGTAATTTTGTTTTTGAGAGAGAAAAATATGAGCAAAATGACACTAAAGAGGTAAATCGCTTCACCATCTCCTTTCTTCCTTCTCTATTCCAAACCCATTTAAGTTTCAGAGAAGTGTAGACAGTCCCAATGCAGATTTCTGATTTCCACTACAGAGCTATAAACATTCAAAACGTTAAAAACCCCCACTCTACACACCAATGCCTGCCCGTGAATTGGCATCAATTCCGAGCTGACACCTACCCCAACTGTACTTTGGACCTAAAAATTCTGACCCTGGGCTGAACCATCATTCTCCCTTTAAGTTTTGTTGTTTTTTTCTCACGAAAAACAAGGGTGAGAAGTAGGGGTGGATTCGAGCCAAGCCGAGCCGAATAGTACAAGGCTCGAGTCAAAAACTTGTAAGCTCGAGCTCGATTTAAGAAAAAGTTTTATAAAAATCAAAAATTATATATAAAAAATATTTTTTATTTGATATTTAAAAAAATAGAATTATAATAATTAGTTGTTATTATATATATAATACTAAGAATTATAATATTTTTATTATATATATATATTATTTTCTATATTTTCTATTATATATTTATTTATTTATTCAAGCTCGGCTCGCGAGCCTCACAAGCCGAGCTCGGCTCGAAGCTCGATTAAAACCGAACTGAGTTGAGCTTTTCACGAGCCGAGCTCGAATAGCTCATGAAGAGCTTGGCTCATGGCCACCCCTAGTGAGAAGACAATACACTATTTTCGATGAAAACTGCTCTACTTTTTGACAAAAGAACAAAGGCGGAACTACTATGATTTTGCCAAAAAACGTTGATTTGGTCAGCAAACCATTAACCCGGACAGTTGAACCACTCGAAGTCTTCAACGGTTTTGACCTTTTTTTCATTTTTTAAAATTTTTTAATTTTTTGTTAGAACGGGCCATTTGTTCGATTCGAACGATTGGACCGTTTGACTTGGGAACCAAACCCTTGATCAATTTGTTGTTCAGTTTCAATTTTAAAAACTGTGGTGAAAACACTATATGGTTGAATAATAAGATCAAACATTAAGAAGAAAACCAGGGGGACGTTGTAAAATAACCCGTTTTCTATAATCGTGTGAAGATGACAATCTAAAACGGGTCACTACCGATCCATTTTTGATAAATTGTGTAACGGGTCAACGACAACCCATTTTTCGATCCAGTAGTTTATTTACCATGTCATACACGATTGTTAGATTTACCGTGTATGACACGGTTACATAATAATAATTTTTTTAACTATTATTGTTATTATTATTATTATTATTTGTTTAATAATAATAATTTAATTATTATAATAACGATTAATATTAATTACATTAATAACGATTAACATTATCTTATTACAATTAACATTAGTAATTTAATGTCATTAAATTATATAAGTTAAATTATTAACTATTATAACAATAATGGTTAATACTAATAATTACTAATATAAATGATTAATATAGGGCGTAAGTTAATAATTACTAATATTAACTTATCATAAACTGTCATAAATAAAAATTTATCAATATATATCTATCTAAAGAAATGTTAAATTAAAAAAAAAAAATTCTAATAGACTTAATAATATTTTTATATTTTTTACAAAGTTCATCATGAAATTATGTACTAACAATACAAATTATAATTTTCCAGATTATTCGTTTTAAATGTTATTCAAATAATAAAAATTTAACATTCAAAAAATAAAATATTATTTAAATAAATTAATAACTAAATACCATAAATAACAAAATACCACAAATAGCTAAATACTTATATACCAAAATATTTAATATTATGTAATAGTTTAAAAATAAATAAAATTCAAATAAAAAAAGCGTTAAATATTTTACATACTATTTAAATATTTAAATAACTAAATATTTTAACTAATGAAATATTTAACGTAACTATATTTTAAATAGTTAAAATAACAAAATTATGTAATAAATTTAAAGAATTTCTTAAAAGTAGAAAAATAATTATAACATAATACTGAAATTATGTAATAATAGTATAAATTATAATTTTATGAATTATCAAATTCAATAAATAATTAATATTTTAAATTTTAAATAATGATATTATTTAAATAATTAAGTAATAATGTAAATAACTAATTTCACTTATATCAATTAAAAATTTGAGAAAATAACTTTCAAATAAAATTAATTTTTATCAATAATAATTTTAAATTTTTAATCTATATTTATTATATAACTATATATAGTAAAATTAATTTTTATTGGATTTTTAGTAATTATTTATTATTTTTTGTGATAAATATATTTTCAATAATTATGCATCTTCGCTATAAAATTTCAATAACTATTGTTATTTATTGGAGATTAAACTATTAATTTAGCTAAAATTATGAGTGTTCACTTCGCAGGTTGGTTCGGTTCGGCTGGAGGCTGTTTGGCCAACCAAATCGACTTTGTCAGGTTGGGGAGTTGGTCACCCAAAACCGACTGATCATTTCTGAAAACTGGTCCACTCGGGTTGTATCGGTTTTGGTCAATTTTTTGTTTGGTCAAACGGTTCAAAAGATTTAAACTTAAAAAATTATAGTATCATTATTAAAAAATAAATTTATCATATAACATATTTTAGACTTTGAAATATGGGAATTTTCTCATTTTTCCATATTAAAAATGATTCAAAATATAAAATATTAATATATATCTATGGTTAAGTCGTTTGATTTTGGTCGGTTTACAAATGGCCAAAGCAAAACTAATCTAACTTGGTCGAGTTGGGAAATTATTGAACCAAAGTTATTCGGAAAATGCTAGAAAACTGACCACCCAGGTCGAGTTGATCAGTTTCATCAGTTTGATGAACAACCCTAGATGAAATTAATTATTGTTATTTTGTATTATAAAAAATATTTAAAGTAGTATATAAAATATAAATAATTATTAATTATTTAAAAAATTAAAAAATATAAAATAATTATATACTCTTAAATGTTTCTATTGTTTAACTTTCGCTTAACAAATCCCGTGCATCACACTGGTCCTTGCTAGTATATTTTTAAATTTATACCTTAAATGTTAATAGTAAGAGGTTGTTTTTAGCATAAATGATATAGGCTCAAATCTCTTTAGCTGTATTTATTGAAAAATATACATATTTAAACAATATAAATACATAAATAAGCACAAAATGAATGATAATTTGATGTTAACACATATAACTATAAGATCTCATGTTTAAGTCTTTCCATTTGCATTTAAAAGCATATGTGCATTCAGCGACTTGGGTCGTTTTGTTGAAATCGGTTGGGTCATTAAAACCCGCTCAGTTTTCAACGATTCCATCGGGTTGGGTTTGGGTTTGGCTTTTGCCAAAATTTAAATGGACATGGCCCAAAAGCCCAAATCTGACACAATGTAAAGTCAGGACTAAAGCCCAGCCCATAAATAGGTCTATTCCCATCTCTCATACCCATAACCATAATTAGATGCACGTGGGGGAGGGCTGAACTGAACATTCAACTTAGCCAATCATCTCTCATACCCATAACCATAATTAGGTGCACGTTGGGGAGGGCTGAACTGAACATTCAACTTAGCCAATTTAGCTCTTTGAATTCTTCACTAAATATACCCGAAGGATGTTTTGTGTAGGGTCCATTTTGGAAAGCCATAAGTTGCTATGCTTATGACCTCCCAAACTGATACTAAGATTATGTTTGTTTTGAAAGAAAATATAGGAAAAGGAAAGGTAGGGAAATCATTACAAAACCTTTCCCTTCCTTTGCTTATATATTTTCTTTAAATCAAACACAACCTAAAAGGAAGAAACACCTCTTAAAAGCAAAAACCCTATACATGTGGAGAGAGCATGGCATCCAACCATATGTAGGGAACATCTCCCACCTATATGCGGTTGGATGTCGTGCACTCAGGGGGTGTGTACGATTTTTGTTTTCAAGAGATTTGTGTTTACACTAAAACTGTATTTGATTTGAAGGAAAAAATAGAAAAATATTTACAAACCAAACATAGCCTAAAGATGGTCGCTTTTAACCTGACTAGAAAATTTGGTCTTGGGCCAAAGTTTTGTATTCAAGCTCAGGCCAAGCAACACTTGTGTATATACATTATAGCATGGCATTTTATAACATAGGCCCACATTTATTTATAATATTTTACATTGTATAATGTATAAAATAAAATTTATACACATATTATCTGATATACAATATAAAGTGTTATATAAGTCACGAGCTATGGAGCCTGGCTTGGCCCATCTTGGGCTTGGGTTATAGCCACGTCACATGTGTTACGCCCAGTTTTATTTTATTTTATTTTTTAAGTAGTTGAAGGGTGCAATTATTTTGAGTGGAAGGGTATTGCTATGCATGTATGCTAGTAAAAGAAGGCAAAAAATGAAAAATGCATTTAATTATTTACTCGTTTAAATGCTTTAGTTCATTGCTTGGATTTAAATTAAAAGGATTTGACCATGAATCTATGATACGTGAAAGACTTGATATTAGAGAAAACTTATAATCAATCGACTATTTATCCCCTGAACTTTTATTTGTAACAAAGACTCCTTCTAAGCTTTCACTTTATGACAAATACCCCCCCATTAGATTTCTGTCAGTTAACTTTGAAAAAGAGTCAATCAGCTATTTATTTATTTTTTAAATTCCCAAACTACCATTTTTTAATTTATTTTAATGATTTATGATTCAATTAGTTATTTAAATATAACATTGAAATCCTCTTGGTTGCTCCAATAGATCTTTGCAGATTTTTGGTTGGATTCAATATTCAAATGAAATGTTAGACATTTCTTTCTAATAGATATAGATTTATGATTACATTTGAGAGGCTTTCATGTGAGTGAAATGAATTGTGAATTTAAAAAAGAAAATAAAACTTTATTTTCTATGTCAATGAAATGATTTTTGTTATTTTAGATGGTTTCATTTGAAGAAAATGAAGGTATTTTTTGTCAATTAAGGTTTAAGAGAAAAGAGCAAGAAAAATAAAATAAGGAAAGTTTAGGTGAATATTTTGGTAATTTAATGTATTTTGTCATTTAACTTAAACGGTAGGGAGTATTTGTTGCAATGTGAAAGTTTAAGGGGCCTTTGTTGCAAATAAAAAGTTTAAGGGGTATTTGTCACTAACCTCTTAATACAAGGGGGTCTTTGTAATTTATGTACCCTGAAAAATGATAAGCAATTAGATACAATTCATCAAAATTCACAATGAGGTTTGATTGGTCAATGACCTTATAGTATCAAACTACCTCACACACTCTTCATAATAAAATATTTAGATGGCATCATTTGCAAATACTAACAATAGGGAAGAACTTTGACCAATCAAAGCCAGCCTGTGAATTTTGATAAATACCATTTGATTGGTTAACACATTTATGATATCAGTTGAATGGTCATAAGATTTTCAAATATGATGTCTTTCCGGTATTATAGTCAAACCCTTAACAATACATCGCATTATGTTAAGTATGAGTATTTGGTTTATTTGATTAAAAACCAAACTAAATTTTGGAAGCCAAACTTGTAATTGAAAAAACGAACCAAAACCGGTTTAAGCTTGAGCTGAAATAGTTGAACTGAAAATTTGAGTTCAGTTTTTGGTTAAGACATAATTTTTTTAGTTAAATGAAGTTTTAAATCTGAAAACGAAGGCCTAGAGAAATAGAAAAAAAAAACATAAATAATTTAACCAATTTAATCAAAACCAAACAACTAAAATTACATAAATAGAGGGAGTATTACAGGCATATGTAAGTTTGAATATTGACTGAACTTGGGGCAACTTCCGTTTTCATCTACAACCAAATACAAGTCTAGATCACCTGCAAACAAAATACATTCCAACACCCTACCAACAACATCTGACACCGCACATCTCATACATGGTAGGTTCCACTTTTATAGTGGGCCCCAATTTTATAGCGAAATGTGCGAAATTAAATCAAGTTGGTAGGGTGTTGGAATTTGTTTTGTTGGCAGGTGATCCCAACTCATCAAATACAAGAAAAACAACATTTTAGTGGGAACTTGGCAAAATGGTACGATATAGTGAAATAACATGGCTAACTTGTATAAAATTAAGAGTAAATTGTAGATTAGTATCATGTAATGTGGGCCTAGGCTCACTTTGGTACCCAAATTTCAAAATATGCCAATCCAATACTTGAAATCCCAACAAGTCCCTGTATACTCCAAAATCATTAACTACCGCTTAAGTGGCATGTGAAAGGATGCAAAAACCCATAGGGTGTCATTTATTTTTACTGACCATCCAAATGCCCAAATCTCTTAAAAGTGGATAGAGAAAGGCAATTTGTTCACCATTGCTTTGGTTCAATTTTGATTTTTGAGGAAAAAGATGATGAACAATGTCTTATTTTGAAAGATAATTTTGATATTTCAAAAGTTTTATGTTGCATATGTCATCATGTGATAGAGATAACTAACGGACTGATAACATTAGGTATTAAATTGGTAGTTTTTGGAAGTTCAGGTATACATTGGCACATTTTGAAATTCGGGTGCTAAAGTGAGACTAGGCCCAATGTATATAGGGTACTAATCTTCAATTTACCCTAAAATCAAATGCTTTTCTTACAAACTTGAAAGGCATAAGTAATCAAGTGTCAACATAGCCATAAAAAAGTGTTGACATGGCATAACAAAGAAGATAATGGCAAGGATATTGATGAAGTGTGTGTTTAAATAGAGAATAAACTAATAAACTACTAGATAGGAATAGAGGTGTAAATCGAATTGTGCCGCCCGCGGCCTGGCATGACAGTCCGCGGGCCGTGCTGGGCTTAGGGTTTTAGGTTCATGCATGGCCTGCAGCACGGGCCATATATATTATTTATGTATATTTCATATATTTATATATTATATATGTTTATATATTATATATATTTATATAATATTATATAAGATATATAATATACAATATATTAATAAAACTAATATATATTTTAATTTGATTATACTAATTTATTTAATTATTGTATATATAAGTAATTGTATACATCAAAATTCATGTAAAATTAAATTTTTTAACTTTTTTGTCAAATTTTTTAAATAAATAGCTTTGGCCCGATGCATAGCCTGACTTGGCCCATGGGCCAGCCTAGTCGGCGGCATGGCATAGCACGGGCCTGGGCCGTGTCGGGCTGACCCCCCAAGTTATTCAAAGGGAGGGCAGCACGACCTTTTTTTACACCTCTAGGTAGGAATATAATAAATTACTAGACCATCGATGAAGTTTATATTTTCATGTTTAACAATATATATTTACCATCATAGTCAATCTATCATGTCTTTTATTGCATGGTGTGGTGCAACGGATGCACCATAGATTTTGCCAATAAAAATTAATAATTTCATGAAATAACAATATTGGGACATATATTCAAACATACAGTTTTGGACCTGAATGGTTTGATTATTGCAAGTGTACATGTCTGAATTAATAATAGAGTTCAGATCTGCTATCAACAAAATGCTTCCAACAGGTCCCTTCAGCCATACATCTGGAATATCTCCATTGTCATTCATGGAAAGATGTTCTCAATGCACACTTGCAGTGGCCTAGTGGGACAGCATCTGAAGCATGTTGTTGGGTCTAATGAGTTTTTTATATGTAATGTAGGATGTATAGCTAAAATTGGGTAAGGCAAAACTAACCACAAGCAGGGAGTGCCAACCTTTTTGTTAGGGTTGCAAATGATATTCAATTATTTGAATTCTATCCTATTAAGGGTGATCTGAATTAGATCAAATATGGATCTACCCTCATTTGATATAGCTTGATTCAATTCGATTTAAATATATGCTCATATATATTTAGAATTTATATCAAACCTATCATTGAAGTTGGTCCAAATGTCATATTTTCATTACATTGTCACACATTCATTCAGGTTTTATACAAATAACTTTCAATTCATTTTGTTCATAAAATTTAATATCAAATTCATTATTTTTAATTCATTTTATTCATAATATATAATATCATGATAGTTTTCTCTAATTTATTTATACCATGTAATATCCGATCCGAATTCTATTCGAATCCGATGAATTATCCAATTCGAATTCGAATCAAATTTAGATCTGCCTATATCCGGTTCGATCCGATCCATTTGCAGCTCGAAGGCCATACCCAGGCCTGGCAAGTGGCAAATAGCCCAATCCCAATAGATATCAAAAGGCCCAAAGCGACCTAATGCCCACAAGCCCAACTGCCCAACCCCAGCGTAAAGCATAAAATGAAGTCAAGGAATAAATATAAGTGGCAAAGGCGGGAGGGGGAATAAAGTGTCGATTGTTGTTGTCCACGTGTCGTTCGGTAATTGGTACAAACAACGGTTGTTTTTCTCCTATTGGCCAGTTTTGAAAGATACACGTTGCAACGAGAAGTCAGTCAGTCCCCGCGACGACTTGTGTGTAGAATTAAAACCGATCCGTGCCGGTTTTCAGGAGTGTCGTTAAGCTTAGGAGAAATGAGAAAGGGACCAGGGGGGAGAAACCTGGAACTGCTCAGGCTCAGGTTATAGATCCTATCTCAGGAAAGGCAACAGCAACACCCTCAAAACTCCACAGATTAGTTCACAAAACTAGTATCAGTAGATCTGACAGCAAACCCTAGATTTCATTTTTTCCCTTTTTTACTCGCGTAGGAGAAATCAAATAAATTTCTTCAGATCTCTGTCGCCGACTCCGAGTTTCCATGGCCTGTAAAGGAACGGGATTGATCTTCTTAGTGTTCGCTCTCTCGTATGCGTTATCCACCTTCGCAGGGTAAGAGTTGAATCTTATAGTTTTCTTCATTGCTTGCATTGATCCGGCATTTGTTGTTTTTATCATTTAATTCGTGTTTCTGATTAAGTAATCGAAATGTTTATTTATAGGAAGAGCTATTACGATATTTTGCAAGTTCAAAAAGGCGCTTCGGATGAGCAGATCAAACGAGCTTACCGGAAGCTCGCACTGAAGTACCATCCAGATAAAAACCAGGGAAATGAAGAGGCCAATAAGAAATTTGCGGAAATTAACAACGGTATAATGACATCCTCATTTTCTTTTCCTTTTCCTTTTTTTTTTACTTCTTAAATCGTTTGATTTTAATATTCAGCGTTAGCGTTCACTAAATTTGTTTGGATTGACCGGTTGTCAGCTTACGAAGTCTTATCGGATCGTGAGAAGAGGAATATTTACGATAGGTATGGTGAAGAGGGTCTGAAGCAGCATGCGGCCAGTGGCGGTAGAGGCGGAGGAATGAACATCCAGGACATATTTAGCACGTAAGTTCACATTCTTGAGGTTTAATTAGAAATATGTAGTGGAGCAATGAGATACTAGTCAGTTTTTGTGTAAACAACTCACTTGTATCTTCTTGTCCATTCTGCCGAAATGCTCTTTCCTTTTGTTCTTCTTTTTGGCCTCTTTCTTTTCTTTCTTCTAAGTTCTGTATTTTTGCAATTAAGACGAAGCACCATTTTTTACAATTCAGCTAGAAAAGCGAATGGGCGGTGAAGCGACTTTAATAGTGAGCAAAATACGACCCATATGGGAACGAATATTAAAATGTACAAGTATTCTTATATAGTACAGAACCATATCTACATTCTCCTTGAATGGTAACCATATATATCTGTGCAACCTTGCAACTTCAAACAACGACCAGTAGCCATTGAGAAACCTTGTTTTTAATGTCGGTGCGTTTGCTCAACTTCAGATATAAAGGATGACATTTGGATTGACGAGATTAAAAGATGATACAGTATCTCGGCACGTATGGTGGTTTAGTTAAACTATGTAGATTGTGGAAAATGTTTAACAAAGATTAGCATCATCCAGCGATGGAGCCAGCAGAACTGATGGGAACATGGCTCCTCAGTCCTTCGGCATATATGGGGAATGATAATTAATGGTTCCCCAAGTGATGAATCCTGGCTCTGTCTCTGGCATCATTCACTGGTTTCTACTTTTCCTTGGACAAATTTACATTTACACTGTGTTGGATTGCAAAGAAAATGGGGAAAAAGAAAAGATAATAGAAAGATTTTCTTTTGGGAGAGAGCATGACTAGTCTTGCTTCCTCTCACTCCATTGTTTTCCTCAGTTTTCTCTACCTTTTAGGAGGGAAAATGAATTTGATAAAAAAGAAATTTACGTTCCTATTTTTGTCTAAAAGAAATTTACGTTCCTATTTTTATCTAACATTCTTTTATATTTTAGTTTCCTTTGTGGACTAAACCGATGATAGTTATTTTGTTTCTCTTTCTCCTTTTTTCTTCACAACCAAAGACAACACTAATTTTGTGGAGGTATTGGTAGACATGTTTTCTCCTTTTGTAATTCACGTTACTGAGTTAGATGGTCATCAATTCCATCTTTAACTAACAACAATGTTTAATGCAACTATTTATTTATATCAAAATTGTTATGTATCTGCATTTTTATGTTAGTATATGTGCTATTCTTATCAATTTGTGAAGCATAGGCCAACATTTTTTGTCATTGCAAACATTTTTTTTTTTAAAAAAAGAAGGAAAGTTTTCTCAATGTTGACAAGGTGATGTTTCATTTTAGCTTCTTTGGTGGAGGTCCAGCTGAGGAGGAAGAGAAGATTGTGAAAGGTGACGATGTAATTGTTGATTTGGATGCTACATTGGAAGATTTGTACATGGGAGGTACATTGAAGGTAGGTTGTAATATTATTGCTGGACCTATCACCCATTCTCTTTCATCTTGATTATAAGGATTGATAAAAAAAAAGGATTACAGTAATTCTATGTTACATGGCACTTCAAAATGGATGCTGTATCCATATAAGATGTGTGAAAACTGACACCAACACACTTGAGGGGACTCTTCTCTTTGTCTCACCTGTCGTATATGACTTAAAATTAAAGTATAGCAGCCAAGTCACCATAATCAATTAAACTTGCTAAGTTTAACTACCATATTCTGATACTTGTACCTGTACATAACTGGCTCTGACGTGCCTCATTTTTATGAACTTTTGTCTGTTAACAGTCTTTTTTTTTTTTTAAATTTTTTTGGTAATTCATGAATGCCATTATTAAGATCATTATTTTTGCCTAGCTACACATAGATGTATGCAAGTGTCAAGAACCTAAGTTTGTTTTTGTATATTTGCAAGTATGTTAGCAACTCTGATTTGGAAATACCTTTTCCTCAAGTTAACAAACTAGAAAGAATCAAAGAAACCCAATGAAACGAGTAGCGGATACTACATTCTTTCACTGCTTTCTGTACCTAGGGCAGAGATCATCTTGCAATATCTCTGTAACTTCCTCTATTGGGCAGAGTAGAATGGTGGAACAGGATTCATGTAGCTGACCCCATATGGTTGGGACAAGGCTTAGTTTAGTTTAGTTGAGCAGGATTATAGTCGGATTGATATAATTGTACACTGATAGAGGGCAAAAAAAAAAAAAGATTGAACAGACTGCTATACTATTTAAACCCTCCATAAAATCCTCAAAGGTGCAATCATGGGGATCTGAGATCACAAATCTCCAGCCATTGTAAACCTGCAACTAATATTGACTTATTAGACATATAATTTCTTTTTTAATATGGTACAAATCTTTTTGATCAATAACTGAAAATTCCAATATGGTACAAATACTTCAAGTACTCAAGAATCTAGAATGGTTCTTAAACCCTGAAATCCTATATCCCAAATAAATTATGGTGATTGAGGTATCTATGCTGGGAAATAGGGTTATTTTAAACCTTGAAGGATATTTAAGAAACTGTAATGCAATCTCAGTTGAATTCATGCTGCTAGCCTGCTAAATTCTTTATGTATTGTTGATTAACTCCATTATGTGCTTCTTCTTTTGCTCCAGTTGAATTTATGCTAGTGAATCCATCTACCATTTAGATTTTGCATTTGGTTGCTAACAAAGAAATTTTTATTTATTTTTGATAATTGTGGTTGCTATCAAAGATTAAAATCGTTCTGATCAGTTAAATAATATTTATTTTTATGGTAATCTGACAATATTTTAATTCAATCATATGATATTCTGTAATATCTTTAGGTTTGGAGAGAGAAGAACATTTTAAAGCCAGCTCCTGGTAAGAGGCGCTGCAACTGTCGAAATGAGGTCTATCACAAGCAGATTGGCCCAGGAATGTTTCAGCAGATGACTGAGCAGGTGAACCCAAGATTTGGTAGCCTTTTTTTTTTTAATTTTTATATGTTGTTATAAACTTATAATAATATTGCTTTTGGTATATAAACTAAAATTTCACCAATTTCAAGTAAAGAGACAAACTTTACTGATTATAGTATGTAGGAACTTGTATGAAATACATATTTTCCCTTCTGAAGATACCTGCTTTATAAATTATAAATATAGAATTGGTATCAAGGTTCAAAATAGTAAAAATATTTAATGGATCCCAAGTAAAAAGAGACTCATACGTATGGCTTCCTCACTGAATAAACTTTTATGTGGGTTCTAATCTTGAATTTATTATTATCAAGTGGATTCTAATCTTTTTTAACACCTTGCACTTTTATATAAAAATTATAAACTATAATGTTCTTCATGGTTTAACTACTAGTATAACAGTACACTTTGTGTATACTTGAATTTAGTGTGAAGCACTTCCAACATACAAAAAGATTCCTATCTTATTGATAAATGGGGGTTTAACCTTTCAAGGAGCATTACAGCTTTTGTTTGCTGCAAGTGCTTCATGAATCAGATCCACAGGAAAAACATAAGATGATAAGGATGATTCTGACAATCTCTAATTCACAGATCAAGCCAGGTTACCAACAAGTATCCATGTAGCTCGGATCTGCTACCCACAAGACATGTAGCTGCACAGTGGGAATGTCTCCTGTACTTGTATGTTACCATTCATGTGGAGTTCCCAATGTGTGGTGGGGGTGTCCTGTGGGTAAATAATGTAGGTAGCGTGATAGCGTCTTTGTAGGTATCAGATCCGGACTGGAATCCATCAAAGTTTAGCTGAACAATGTAAAATATTCTTTTCCTAATAAGTGATTGCATTTCTTGGTACACTAATATCACATAGCCATTTTTTCCTTTCAAATCCATGGTTTCTTTTCATATTTATTGATATAATCTGAAAACAATACATATTTTTTTATAGTTCAAGTACTAGTAGAAAACCTTAAGCAAATAAAGTTTGAAAATCCATGCGAATGTTATAAAGTAGAACCTTTTTATTTTAATGACAGTAAAAGAAAAATTTTGTTAAAAAGAAAAGGGGAATACAAGAACTGGTGAGAAGAAATCATTAAAGAAGAAAAACAGTGTACCAAAACGACAGGCATCCTCGTCCTATTGAAATTTCCTTGTGAAACAAATCCCACCACCTAGTAAGGGCAAGATACTTCCCTTGATAACTAATACATTAAAATGATAAAAATAAATAAAACATTCAACCCACATCACCCACAACCCCCCACCTTTTTTTTTTTTTCTTTTTGTTTTGATAAATCCCACAATCCCCCACTTCCACAAGGACTCTAATCCTAACCATTTGACTAGCACCTAACAAAGAAACTGTTATTTTATTTTTTACTTTTTTTTTTTTTTCCGAAGGACGACAAGGAAATTTCATTAAAACTGAAAAAAGTAATACATCTCAGAAAGATGGTTGTCTAGTTGACAAGCCAACTACTTATCATAAATTACACTGTAAACGACTCAAAATTACAAGGATTTAAATACAACTCTAACAACTACCCCTTGTTACCATCATAATGGCCCCCTTTCTGCATATTTCTTTAGATATTTCTCTTTTTTCTAATTCCAAAATTATTTTTCTTGCCTGCTTTTCACCTCCTAGAAAGAACACAGTCAAACTTTTCCCCACTTGAACTTCTCCTTCAACTACCTTCACAATCTCTATTTTTATCTACATGCACAACTTTATTTGATGGGCATAACTAGTCATGTCATGATTTTTAAGTCTGGCTCTATCTTCCCTTTTGACTCCAAATTGTTCTATAGGTTCATAAGCAATTCTCCACAATAAGGTTTGATTATAAAGCTCTTGATCTGCATTTTGTCACCCTTGGTCATATTCTTACAGTTTTTTTCTCAATATAAGAAGAATATCTTTACCTTTTTGACATAAAATTTTCTTTTTTTTGATTGTTGTGCTCCACATTCACCACCACTCTTCTAAAATCTTAAATGGTAAAAGTTGTAAAAAGCAACAAATTGCACATTCTAAACGAGAAGGGTGAAATCTTATACACACTAGGCTTGATTCTTTTGTTTCAATGATCTGACACGAGGCAGCTGAGATGGCGGCCTAAGGGATACATCTGTCCCAAACCATGGCCTCCTTGCCATGTGGCAAATGATTATACTTTTTTGCTTTTTTTTTTTGTTAAAAAAAGAAAGAATACTGTTGGCTATCATTGGAAGGGGAAGTGCATTATGTGGGGCCATATGGCTGATGCAGATATTAACCAGAGGATCAGGATCAGCCATACGATAATGTCCTGGATCTGATGTCATCCCTCCACGTGGAGAAGACTTCTGCTACTACATGCTTCAGAGATTGCACTAACATAAAAACTAACCTTTTCAGGATTTAAGCTTAAAAAGAGATCTCTTTTGCTACTAAAAACCTAAACAATAACCAAACTATATAGTATTAAAAAATTATTAAAATTTCGTTTTATTTTATTTTTACAACATTACTATCATTTTTTGTCTTATCCCATCTGCGTTCCATTCTATGTAGGGCTATTGTTTTCTTGCTGAAGGATGAACTAACAAGTACTTTCTCACTACCCAGACCCATGGGGTTTTTGCCTTTTCCTTTGTCTAAAACCTTCAATATCCATCATCTGCTTCAAAATATCAAAAACTGCTTTTCCCCATTTTGTAAATGATATTGCCAATAAACAGGAATTGCTAAAATTTTCCTTGTCATGGTTTTTAATGGACTGAAATTTGTGGCTTTGGTCTCCCTGGTGAAATCTGTAAAGTTTATTTATTTCAAAAGAAATTCAATGAACAGCTATATTGGCCAAAGTCCCAAAACATTAAAATCTTCAATTATTTTTTTGGCGAAGTCCCAAAGAAATAAATTTAAGTGAAACATCTTTGATTTGCAGTCATGACAAAAAGCATCATGGAATGTCATGAAATTTAGACAAACTTAAAATTTGTGGTCCCATAACTATGATTGCATGATATTACTTTTATTTGAAAATTTTATGATTGCAAATTCAGAACTTTTCTTGTACAGTAGGCATATTGGAGATAAAATATTGACCAGCCATGTTTACATATAAATATATTTATAAGTATGTAATAATATGTAAATTCTAGCCTATAGTTTCATTTTATTTTTCTGTTCCTTGCAGTTCTGCTGCTATCTTGCTAACATTTTTCGTTCTGCCCTGTAAGGTCTGTGAGCAATGCCCAAATGTAAAATACGAAAGAGAGGGTTATTTCGTAACTGTTGATATCGAGAAAGGGATGCAAGATGGACAAGTAAGCTTTATTACAACGTGATACTACAATGTTATATACATGCCTGTCACTTATTTCTCTATCTTGGTTTAAAAGATGGATAAAAGTCCATTACCCAATGTTGGTCATAGCTTGGGAGGGATATGGACCTAACCTTTGGCTTTTTTTTTGCATGTTTCCCCTTCACCCTCTTTGTGTGTGTGTGTGGGGGGGGGGGGTTCTACTCTGTTAGACTACCCAATGTGAAATCTAGCTATTGTCTGGTAACAGATCTTTCTCTTGACCTAAATTTCCCCATCTTACAGGAAGTGGTGTTCTACGAGGATGGTGAACCTATAATAGATGGAGAATCTGGAGATCTAAAGGTTTAAATCTTCCCTTTTGTTTGTGTTTATAACATATGGAAATAGACTATGTACTTACAGTATGGCTACTGTCTACTGACAGTTCCGCATCCGTACTGCACCACATGAACGATTCAGAAGGGAAGGCAATGATCTGCACACAACTGTTACAATAACACTGGTAAACAATTTTACTTTTTATGCTTTTTTTTTTTTTTTAAATTTTTTCGTTGACTTCATTCTGAATCCATTCCGTATGGGTATTACTGGTTAAAATATTTGCAGGGAGCAGGATTAACATGATTATCATTTCCCTTTTTCAATTTTGTAGATTTTTTACATTTTACTTGTAATGATGCTTTGTTGAGTGAGACTCTTTGCTGGTAGGCAGCATCATCTTAATGCCTATGGGGACCTACCCCATGGTTGTCCTGCTGACATGACTCATCAGATAGACATTCTCTATCTAAATGTTTTTCTCATGTCATCATAGTTTTAAAAACTGACCCAGAAATGGAACCGTTTTGGCCACCGGTTCTTGGGTCAAATGGTCTGACCATCCAGTCTGAAGCCCGGTTGAAAAGTTTTGCAACCCAAAATGGACCCAGATCCATTGACTGATTCCCAGGTCAAGCAGTTCAACCGTCTGATCCAGTCTGGTTTTTAAAATAATGTATGTCATAATAATTTTCTCTGTTGCTGAGTTTATACCTATGCTTCACTTCAGGTACAAGCTCTTGTTGGGTTTGAAAAGACTATCAAACACCTCGATGAGCATCAAGTGGACATTGGCTCCAAGGTGATCATATAGATTTACTCCGCTTTGTTTTCTTATATATGCTTCAAATATTATTTTAGGGAGGTGAACTGAATTGGTAATTTTGACCTTCAGGGAATTACTAAACCCAAGGAAGTGAGGAAATTCAAAGGGGAAGGAATGCCTTTGCATCTTAGCACAAAGAAAGGAGATCTATATGTGACCTTCGAGGTTCTGTTCCCTAGTTCCTTGACAGAAGACCAGAAAACAAAGATCAAGGCGGCCCTTGGTTAATTTTGGGAATCCTTTCTTTTTTGTTCCAATACGTCCTGATTGTACCATGATGAGATCAAATGAAGGTGCAGGCTGATGTAGGGGATAAAAGTGCCCATTATATAATTCCTTGAAGTTGTTCCTGATACCAATAGAGCAGCTTTCCCTCGTATTGTTTTCCTTCACAAGAAATATAATTCATTTTTGCTCTAGTGTAATATTCTAACATGGAAATACATTATTGAAAGTAAACTTTAGCTTTTCTAGGATAGGACTGTACCTTCTACTTGTGCTTCGCATTGAGAATGAACATGATTTCACTGTAAAGTTGCTCTAAATGTCTCCTACTAATGACTCAAAACGAATATTAAGTAGGACTAATGTTGAAATAATCAGTTCCTCTACCCTCCCTTAGGGATGCAACGGATCGGATATTTAGGATTCGAGATGATCTGATAGGATTCGGTTTGGATTTGAATCTGATTTTTGGATTTGATTGAATTTGATTTGTTTTTTTAAAAGATAATAAATTATTAAAAAAAATAAAATATACTAATTTAAGTAAAGTAAAATTAAAAATACAAGAGTTGGGTCACCATCATTGCGGACTGCAGAAGCTATTTATCTCTGGATTCAGTCTCAATCATTCATATCAATCGTCAAGAAAACCGTCCTAGGCACTGTCTTGTGAAACATGCTCTTGACCTGCTATGTTTTTTCGTTTTCAAAAAACCCTCCCTCCCTTGAACATACCGTTAATCATGATTCTATGACTGATTCTGATTCACATTCTTAATGCAATGTTTTTTCATTTTCAAAAAAAAGTAGTCTAGTGACGTGTGGTTTCAAAATTGATGAACCAATAAGGCAATAATTTCATATTCAAGATTAAACTTTCATAGGTTGGATAAATGAGCAGGGAATTTTTAATTTGAAGAATTGAAGGAAGTCATAGAACATTAAATTTGACAAAAACGGAAATACCTTTTAGGGTCAGTTTTTTTTTTTTTTTGGATTTTGAGAATGGGGAAGTTGGTAAATGAGATTTTGGTTTCCATTCTTTTTTCAGATTTATGTGGGGTTCATGGAATATTTATTTTTCCTCGGCAACACTTACTCGGGTAAATGATGCCCATCTCCTAGGTGGGTGATGTAGGGGTATCCGGCCGACCTACGGATCTTGATACGTGGCATCAGTTGGATGCATCCTGACCATCCATCATCAATCACTTCCAACTGAGTCCACATTGACTTAAGGACACAAACGTTAGAGGCCCTAGAATGCTTCCTTAATGTGAACAAACCCTGAAATATGTTCAGTGACAGATACATCTTGGAGATGGGCCATCACGAACATTGCCACTATCGTCCTAATGGCATTGGGAGCGAGCTGGTTAAAGGTGAGCTTATAGTGGTTCAGGATCTCAAAAGTTGGGGGGTGTATGGGAAACCTCAATCCGAAGTGAAGGTAATGCTTGTGGATACACACCTCCCCTTTAGGGGCGAGCCACAACTTGTCACCAACGCAGGGGACTCTAATCCTATATGTGAGCTCTGGGAAGCTCATGACCGGTTCAAAGAGTTGGAGTCGCCACCCATTTAGTGACTCTGTTTTCTATGGAAAAGGCACACGACCAAGAGATTTTAGCTTCTAAGGATTGCGAGAGAGAAGGTATTAGGCACCCCCCTCTCCAAGCTGTTGTAGTAACCTAATACGGGAGTTGCCTAGGTTCAATTTCCTTTGGGGAAAAACAAAAATGGTTGCAAGAATTTCTCAAATCTGGAGGAACATGCTTTCAATTTCTCCTAAGACCGATTTTGAGGTGATGTTATCAGGTCTTAGGTACTGATTTTCCTAAGACCCTTGCCTCTTTGCCTCTATTCTCAGTTAAGAAGAAATTGTAAGCAATAGCTCTCAAACATTTCAAAACCTCAAGCAACCCAGAAAAACTAAAAAAGACTTACCTTTCATGTGTACCTTGTCAAAAATTTTCTAGTAGTTAGGAGGACTTCAAACGGAACTTGAGTAAGGCAGGAGCCGGGATGAGTGTTTCTGGTATTAAGTTTGGAAGACAAGGGATGAGGCTTGAGTTTGGCTTCTGGGATTTCAGGATTACAAGTAGAATGGATGTGTTACAGAAGTTGGAAATTTGTCCCTTCTGTCTCTTTCTTTCTCTAGGGACATTTCTTAGCTTTCCTCCCTTCAGTCCCCCTCCCTTGAGCTCGAATTAGATGAGTATTTATAGAGAATGAGAGGGGGTCAAGTTTGAATTCACTCAGCTACAGTGCTTAGGAATCCATAGAGATTTTTCCCATAAATAGGCAAAGAAATAGGTGCCCAGTCAAGTTTTCTTGTTTGGTGAGACATTTTCTTTGATTTGGGGGTGGTTTTCATAAGTTTTGTGTGGCCAATGGGAGCTTGGGGCGTGCTAGACATTGCAGCCTCGTATTTGGGGCTGATAGTGGCAAAAAATGTAAATTTGATGAATTTTTAAAAGCTATTTTATCTTTTCTTGGTCTTGAGTAGTGGTATGTTTGGTCTTTTGAACTTTTTGGGTCTATTAGGTTCTATTTGATTCGTACAAGTGTTTCAATGGGGTTAAGTAAGGAGTTGACGTCAGTCCCTACCCTCTTAAGATTATAGGTTGGACAACTGATGTGGCGGTTCATTCTAGTGCGTCAAAATGGTACCTATCTAGTTTAACGGTCAGACAGATGAATCTGGTTGTGAAATTTGGCGTGTTGGGGTTTTTCGGGTCCTTGAACACAATGGTGAAGTCTGATCGGACAAATAGGGTTGAGACAATTGAGATCTATGGTTGACAAGTTTGGGTGAATGAGATCTTAATGCTTTTGTGGTTGACAAGGGTCAACCAGGGGGATTTTGGGATAAAATTTGGTGGGTTGACATTTTTGAACGTCCTAAATCTAATGGAAGTGATGGATATTTGATCAGAGGTGTAGATTGATTGTTTTAGTTCAGATCATAGTCTTAGCTTATGGTTTTCCAATTAACGAAAGGGTTCGAAATGGAATCTTACTTTTTCAACGGTCAAATGGAGGTGTTTGGTCGTGAAATTTGTCGTGCTGGGTTTTTTGGGTCTCCGAACCCAGTGGTAAGGTCTGATTGGTCATACAAAGTTGGAATGACGGATGGTAAACTCTAATTAATAGGATTTGTTAAAATAAGATCTAGGCTTGATAATGGGTCAAATGGGGAATTTTGAGCTACAATTTAATAGGTAGGCATGGATTAGGGTGATGAGTCAAGTGGATGGTTCTGATCTAAGAAAGATATGGTTGATCTTGGTAATCATTCAAGGCCATCAAAATGAGATCTTAATGCTTTTGTGGTTGGATATCGTAGATTTGTGTTGGGATTCACTAGTTGATTGTTTCCTAATGATCTTGAGGTGATGGGTGTGTTGGATTTGATTTTGGGAGTTGGAATTTGAATATCACATAGATCGGGGTCGATAGAAAGGAAGTTAGCGTGATGAATAGTGGATCCTTGTAGTTTAGTCATGAAAATTGATGTGTAACTAGGTTTTAGTTTTCAAAAGTCTAGGGATGATGTTTGAGCAGACATTGATATTGATCTCAAGGTTCTTATTTGTCACGTGGATTGTGTGAGAGGAGGGTATTTCGGGTTTTGGGAAGTCTCAAGTTGATCTGGTTGTGTTTCTGAGCTTTTGGGGTCTAAGAGGAGGGTACAAAGAGGTAGGGTGAAGGGACCGAGCAAAAATTGGGTGCTAACACTATAGTCCCCTGGAATGTAGTACTTCTCGGCCAAAGCCCTAACTTACTCCTTGCCGAGAATACTGTCTAGGTCAGAGTGGGGATAACGCCCCAGCGTCATGTCTCGTCACTTAGCCTCGACCGTAGGTTCCTCGACCTCTTCCGCATCCACCACTTTAGGAAGCGCAAGGACATTTCCTATAGTGTTGGCCCTCAGCTGCGTGGAACTGGTACTCTCATTGGCAGAGTTCGCACTCTGCTGGTCGTGCTTGGCCTCGCGACACTTGACCCTTTCCCTCAATACCTAGATGTTGGACGCCCTAGAGGAGCTCTTAGAGTCACTGTTGTCGCTCCCATCGCTATTAGGAGTGCTGTTGGGAGTACTCCAGTCAGGAAGGTTGTAGGCTTCATAGCTAGAGTCCAAGGCCGACATGTTGAGGACAAAGGTTCTTTACCTAAAGATGTTAATGAAAGGAAGTCTAAGGAGTTGGTTGTGGAAAGCTGAGATGTCCTCAGTAGCTCCAAGACTCAAGGTTTCAAGTAAATGGTGAAGTCTCGCTCAGCCAACCTCCCTATTTAAAGGAAACATACAACCCATATTCAATTGATCCAATGGCCACGGATTGACTGACCTTACAGCCTGAACCGATGGGCTCCATGTGGCATCAACCTCGGGAGACGGAGCTGGTTCGCCCGTCAACTTTAGCTCAAGGATGCGCCGAATCGGACCCCTCGTGCCATCTCGTGCACGACCTCAATCAATCGACCGCGAATGATGTCAGCATTCATGCGGGGCACAGGCAATGCACGCGGGTAGCCTATACCCGTATGGGCCACTGTCACACACCCTCGACTTGGAGTGATCCTTCATAGGTGCGAAGAATGAACAGAGGAGCAGGTGCCGCAGAGCCGTTGAGAAGAGTTCCGCATTGAGGCAGATGCCTCCACATGAATCTACTATACTCTCTTTGGCTAAAGCCGAGGCCTTGACACAACCCGTCAACCGACCTCGAGAGTGGGGGGCAAGTGATGTAAGGGTATTTGGCTGACCTGCGATCTTGACACGTGGCGTCGGTAGGATGCATCTTGGCCATTCGTGGATCCTGACATGTGGCGTCGGCCGGATGCATCCTAACCATCCATCATCAACCACTACCAACCGCTGCCACCTGCTCCCAACTACCCTTCTTCTAAGGCAACTTCGACTATAAAAGGGGCTCCTACATTGAGGTAAAGACACATAGACTTGATTTCTAAGTTTCCTATCTTGCTTGGTCTGACCCCTCACAACCCTCAACTAACTTGACCGTCAGAGTCTTCGCCCCTGGGATAACTCCTGGGGCCTCTGATGTCTTCTTTCTCTCTGCAAAATTGGACCCATCGGCCTCAGACACCAGAAATTATATTGTTGTTCTCATCTCCGTATTTGGCAGCAACAATGGAAAATAAAAGAACATGGATAAGTGCATTTACTCGGGTAGTAAGTATTTCCAAAGAAAAAAAAACTTACCCACCCAAATAAGTAACTTCCTGAAAAGTGAACGAGGCCTTAAAGGAATGTAAATTATAGTAGCAAACAACGATGTACATTCACTTAATCTCTAGAAAATTAGGGGTGATTTGATTCCCTCAACAACCAACTCAATGGCCCCTACGAGGGATTCGAAGAAGAAGAAGAAGACCCTATTGGGGATTCGGACTTGTTACAAATGCAACTCCAACAAGTTCAGGTTGAACATTTCTTAAAATTTGAATAGGCCTAATCTGAAAACCTGAACATCGTGCTTGAATATTCTTTAAGTCAGGCATCCAATTTGCACAGACCACCGTGGAAGGTTTGTTTCAATTGCAAGAGTCTAAATTCCTATAAATAACGATAAAACAGTATGGCTGTCAATGGTCCGGGTTAGGATTGAGGCCTTGGGCAACTTGACCCAAAGGCAAACCCATATATGGCATTCATGAATGTATATGAGTATATCTATTCATATGTGTCAATTTATCTCAATCACTTAATCTCTAAAGTCTCAGGGTGGTAGTGGGTCACACTTCAATGGTTCTTCATGATTTTGTGAACTAGTTATTTTAAGATGGGTGTGTAATGACTGAGCTGGGTTCATTCAACTCTACTCCTTTAAATATTACTACAAAAAAAAAAAAACTCTAATCCTTAAAAATAAATTGATATCTAACTTTCGGGTTTAATGGAGTATTTTTTTATTATTCAAAAGAAAAAAGTCTAAGAAATTTATTTGGGGTGTTGCGAGAATCGAACTCGCGACCCCTCGCACCCGAAGCGAGAATCATACCACTAGACCAAACACCCATTGACGTATGTATTTAATCAGTTTTCCATTAAATCGATTAATACGTAAACTTTCCAATCACTAAGATATAACACTTTACAATTAGTCATAAAATACATGAGTTTTACAACCATTCAACCTCTCAGTGAAATTCACATCTGTGCCCTACAAGCGCCTCACAGCACATCCCAACCATGTATTGGGAACATCTCCCGATAATAAGTACAGGAAATGTTCCCAATGCACGCTGAGATGTGCATATAGGGCACAGATGTCAGTTCCTCTATGTGTGGGTCCTATGTATTTTATCATTGGTGTGGAGCATTGGCATTGATCCCACGAAGTTGGATTAGCTGAACGCTATGACTATTCAGCAGGCTGTGGAACCAATGATGTGGTTCTATGTTAATAATAAATTCATGAACCTCACTGTCAAAAGTGCAGGCCTCATTCATTTAAATTCTGGCGTAAAACCTTATCATTGGTTCCACAGCCTGCTGAACAGCCATCACATTCAGCCAAACCTTGCTCTGATCCCACATCCTGCTGGTACACAGGTAAAGGATTCAGCTAATCCAAATTCGTTTTATCAGTAATTCCGTCTTCATGCAGGTAGAGTATAACTACAAACCAGGAAGCTGAAGTGAAGAAGTAGTCCCAAATCCCAATCATGGAAGATGGAACCCATCTTAACTTCGTTAAAACAATATGAAAAAGCAGTATTCGTTCTGTTTATAAACAGCAGTAGATGAGTAGACAGCTAAAGGAAAGAAGAATGAAAATAGATAGAGAAAACCAAAAACCAAATAAGAACAAAGCAAAGAGTAAGACAGGTCGTGTGATTGAAAAAGAGAAGCTATTCTGTACACTCAAATAGTTGTTGTAATTGCTTCTACTGCAAGCTCCTCCAGTGCTGCCATCAGATGTGATCTAACAGGTGAGACAAAATTGGGCAAGTATTTCATATAAATTAATTCTTGGGAATATCCCATGTCTTAATTCGGGTCATTCAATAGTTGACATTAGCAATTGGCTCACAAAAGTGCGCCAGAACTTGCACTCCTATACTCGCTGCGCCAATGCAAATGAAATTGCACTGCAATTCTGCAAACAAACGAAGCTATCTGTCAAGTAAAATGAAACTGGTTGTCTGAACGGTCCTGGATTGTACAGTCCGACCATTCGGGTCAACGGCAGTTCAAAAACACTGATTTGGACTATAAAACCCCGCACAAACAAGATCGTATCCATGACCATGAGGTGAGACCTTGACGCTTCTCGATTGAAAGTGAAACTGAGAAGCCATTCGTTTGCACAGACCCACATCAATATGAACTATGAACTATGTCGAGAATTTTTCTGTTACTTCAGTTGTGTGACAACGGTGTTTATTTAGGGATGGGCCCTGGGGTATATGCAAACATATCAGCCGGGCATCAGCAAGAAAGAATATTATTGGTACATCAATTTTGATTATACCAAGGTTTTAAAAACCGACCCAGAACCGGAACTGTGGCCCCTGGTTTCTGGGTCAACAGTTCAAACATAGATAACCCATTCCAATGAAAAAAAACATAAAAAATAATTAAAATAAAAAGTCTACAACCATTAAACGAGTCAACAATTTGACATGTCACTGACCAATTTAACAGTTTTTGGCCAGGAACCAGGTTTGAGGTAAAACAGAATTTTGAGATAAAACAGAACCGGTTGCCTGGATAATTCCCAGACCGAACAACCCAACCAATGTTCAAAGTATCGACACAGGGCATATCGGCCTGTATTGATACTTTTTTTAGGTTTTATTTATTTATTTTTTTCAAAACCAGTTCAGAGGGGTTGATTTAAAGCCCAACTACCCTCTGAACTATAGTCTGACCCGATACAACCCCTGGAGGGGTGGCATATCAGAAAGCCATTGGCACAACATGCATAAACTGGTATGTATCAATACTTTTAACCTTGAGTCCGACCATCCGGGTCAACGGAGGTTCGAAAACATTGATTCATACAACTACAAGTAATGCCCTCGAGCTTCTACGAAATGTCACGTTTATGGCTTATAGCACTGAAGAGATGACTTGAAGTGAATCACCCATTCTATTAGAACACATAACTTTCTACCAAAAAAAAAAAAAGAAAACGTTACTTTAATGTCAAATGAATGGATCGATTTTGTAAACGTATTTATAGTGATGCAGTCGCACGTTCAAGCCCACATTCTAAGAGTCATATCCTGTTCCTTGTCATTCCAATCTGTTCTCCCGTTTCAATCTACTGTTGCCAACTTCTCTTCATCTACTTCAAAAGCCTTCCTTGCTTGTTTCAGTTCCTCATTCATAGACAATAATTCTGTACAACGGTGAAGTTTTGGAAAATCCTGTGCGGTTGTACAGTTAGATGATGTTAGTTTGCTGTATTACAGAACTCACAAAAAAGCCAACTTGAACACCGGACCTGAATCAGCCTAAACCCCAACTTGTTTTCAAAGGAACTAAAGTTTTCTAAGGGTACCTGGTACTTCATGCAGTCAAATTGTGTAAAAAAAGGAATTGGTTGAGGTCTTATTTTCATATACTCGAGAGGTGGTTATGAGGATCCATAATATTGAACTTGGATGAGACATAATATCTACCATTTACCATACAAGATCTATCCACATATAGTCTCAATTGCACAAGCTACAGAATGGTGTAATGTGAAAGCAGTGTCTGCAGAAGATACCTTGCGAATTAGAAATAGGAAATCCTCTGTCAGAAGCTTCCCCCTCTTAGATGCAATATCTTGGGCTTTATGAACCTACAAAAGTACAGCAGAAGATAATAAGTCATGGATGTTGATCAATCTAATTGTGAGAAGTTCAAAAAAGGCCTGTAAGAAAGAGGAAAGTAGGATAGTGCTTACCAACTCTGTGACATACTCAACAACAATGTCCTCCAGAAGTGTAACAGTTTCAGGAAGTGGCTGTAAAAGTGGCAAAAGCATTTGGTTGCAGAGATGTAACCCAAATAATGTCATTATCTGAACTGAGCAATGTTACACCCAAAATACAACAACATAATTATAATGTAACATTTCAAATAGCATGGTTGCATGCAAGTCATGCAGGTTATATTCGTGTAGTAGGTTGGAATCTGGTTGATTCCCAACTAAGGATTTTGATTATATTATCATTCTACAATTGAAATAAAAATACAGTGGAAAGCTTGCTCAGAATCTATTATGCATCAGACTAGTTTCCATGCTAGTCAATATTTCCTGTTCTCACATCAATGTTCTGATAAATGAACTCTTTTTCTTTAGATGGTTCATATAAACTTAATAAAGAAAAAGAAATTCATTTATGCTATTCCTTGATTCATCAGCTTATATTATGTCATTGTTTCACAGCTATGAATATTTACGTAATTTTTTTCTTAACATTCTTATGACCAATTTACAAGGTGATTTGAACTTATCCCAACAGAACATACTAGAACAAAGAAAGAAGATCAATGAAGTCCAATGTTTTTAAAGGTGTTTGAGGCATACTCTTGGAGGCATATGTATAGGCAAGGGACATTCAAAACACCCTGAGCCCTGAGGCATACACATGCACCTCATGTATGAAGGAAGAAAGAAGAAAACAAAAAGAAAAGAAAAGGAGAAGTTCTCTTCCTCCCTCTTATTCCTCCTCTTAAGGAGATTTACGCCTCTTGCGTTCTGAACTATGCCCCATGCCTCTGGGTGGTGGAATGCCTATTGTCATGCCTCCGCATTTTAAAACATTGGTGAAGTCACAGCATTGACTGCACAATGCCTAGGGTATCACCTAAATATTTTTGTAACCGCATTGCATATGCAATGCCTAGGCAGGTGATGCACTTAGGGCATCGCATGGGAACAATAAGGTAACATATGGAATGAAGGCCATAGCCCATAATCAGTCTAGGTGATTATAACATGCTTTCTTTTATGTTTACCTTTTATTTTTGTCAACTTGTTATTACACCTTTGAGATACTTATTTACCACATTAAGGTAATTTTATTGAATTGTTCTATACACACACACACACACACACACACACACACACACACACACACACACACGAGGGGGAAACAAAAGTTGGGAGTCAAAGATGAGAAAGAAAGAGAAAAAAAAGGAAAAGAGAAACAAATAGAATCAAGGGACTAAAGGCTTTTCTACGAAGGAAGAAATAGAGCATAAGGAAAGAGAACCAGGAGTGACACCCCCCCCAACAAACTGGGACCAAGAACCATGTAAATTACATAATATAGTAAAGTGCTTCGGGACTCCTTTTATGTACTTCATTTGATGCACTAGTAATTAGTACTCCGTTTTTGCATAAACATGAGATTCTAGTTCATTGCCCAAATTCATCCAGTTATTAGGTTTTCTTATCTTTTATAACAAGTCTTACCTAACCTAGGAAGTCCAAAATGCATATAAATTGCCCACTTTCCTTGGCCACACTGGAAAAATAATAAAGGGGACATTTTGGAAGCCAAAGAAAATATTGAAAGAAGAAAACCTTTCTCTGCAAGGAAATTGGGGCATAAGAGTAATTCGATTCAGAAAGGCCTGATTGTACAGAAACAGAATGGGCTCTTTTGGGTGTTAGTATGGCAAACTCAAACAACAATGAAAAAAAAACTACAACAAAGTGATGAAATTAGCAGTTACCAAACTCCAACTAAAACAAAGCCTCTTGCACTTTTTTTGTTAGCTTAGTGGTTCCTATAAAGTTCTTTGAATGACCCTGAAAATTTTCCCACTTGAGCAAAATATATTCATTGAGTAGTTTTACATAACATGCCTAATTCCTAAATTAAATACGAAGGAAAAGTGAACAGAAATTGGGAAGAAGATAGTGTCCACTTTGAGGGAGATGTCCTAATTTGCCTCTTGGAGGGGCAAAATCCTCTCTCAGAAAGCTGCACACAAATCAATCCTTAATATATTGATCACTTAAAAGATGAATATATAGACCAGTTATGATGCTAACTCAAATGACTGCTTATCTAGACAACTTAGAAGTAATAATCAACTAACCACAAGCTTCATCATCATCATCTAAGATTTGTCCCAACTATATGAGTTGGTTTCAAAAATCCTGTTTCACCATTCTGTTCTGTTCAGTGCCCTATCCATTTTAAGTTATAGGTGCTCAATCATTTCTTATTACTTACAGCCAAGTCCTTTTTGGTCTTCCCCTGGCACATCTAGTCCCTTCAACTTGTAACTAACCACAAACCATTAAAGAAATTTGAAATAGAAAAGTAACTACTAGACAGGTGACATTCAACTTTTAGTTCATTGAAAATTTCTAAACTTTGTTGCATTGGAACAAGCTCCAGTTCTCTGCAGAATCTAAAATAGGCTTCAAGTGACAGGCCCAACTCTTGAGATGCCTATGCAAGGCCACAACAAACAAATCTAAGTGAGCCACCTATTAGATCTTCTATTGAACAACACCCATAACAGGGGAGAATTTGGATATGAGGTCACTCAATTGAATGCCATGAAACATCCAGAAGCCATTTGACAAAATGTAAAGATTAAATTGATGAATAAGAGCTTTCTCGAAGACAATTACGGTAAAATGTCCAATAATGTGTAACTGCTAAGCTATTGTAAAACCAATGCCCAAACACTACTACTTAGTACTTGCCATCAGATTAGCAAAGGCTAACTGCAACTAATAAAAAATTTGCAACATAGTAAGGTACGTACATTGGGGTCGTCTCCAAAACCATACATCATGTGTTGCACTGTAACAAAGTCATCAACAGAAAAGACAGGCATATACCAGTCATAGTCAGTACTTAAAATAACAGCTATTTTACATCTTAAACAAGCATTCGTGCGTATATCAAAAGCAATTGCTTACGATCTTTCTGAAAGACGCCTCGCTTGCGCTTGAACGATGTCTCAGATGGTTGGGAATGGGAGGATCCAACTTTGGTCTTGGAAGCGGGTCCGGCAGAAGAATTATGCATCTCCGATTCGTGACCTTATCAACCTATCTTTTCAAGAATTATAAAACCCATTAACCAAAAAATCGAATCATAATAGATTCCCACAGGCTATTATCGTAAAAACAACTAGTCGAATGAAATCAAATGAAAGTACAAGGGTTATTTTATTGCTAAAAGAACAACTTAAGAGTAATTCTTCTCATCTTCCTGCTAAGCATAGAAAAATCTGTTATTTTTTTTTCGATTACTTTCAATTAAAAAAAATTTCTCCTCTAGTCCAATTTAAAACCAAGCCTCTCTACTCGAGAATCCTAAATAGGGAAAAAAGAATGCGAGCAGCCTACACCCACTCTCAGTTTCGAGTCAACTACCGCCCGAGTGAGAGCTGCCAGGAATGAGAGTTGCCGGAGATATAGGCTGCGGACATGTCACGGTTTATGCGGCTTCAGGGCGTGGTGGACTCCCTCCTCAAGAGGATAAGTATAAAAGAAGAGGGAGTGATTGATTCCCCATTCAAAATAGGAAATAAAGGAGGGGGAGAATAAAGGTATGAAAAATAAACACCTGGAGCTACCGTCGATGTCACCGTCGCTGCCGACTTTGTTGTAATCGCCGGAAACTGCACGCTCCTCCTCCTTTATTCCTACTCCGCTTCTTCTTCTTCTTCTTCTTCTTCAGCGTATTCTTCTCCTTTTCCTTTTCTGATATCTGGAATCCTCCTAAACAAGAAGTTTTGGTTTGGGTTTGGGGTCTTAGCGGACAGTGTGCTGCTCAACACCGTCGTTATTGTGTAGACTCGCAGAAATACCAATCATCGGTCGTAGTTAAAAACATTGGGCACGTCATCAGATAGAAAAAAAATGTCGGTTTGAATTTCGACAGACATCTATAAAGTTTTCCCTGCATGACACGTTAAACTATGTTTGGTTTGTGGGATAAGGATGGAAAAAAGGGGAATATTCTAATTTTGTTTGTTTGCTTTGGGGAAAATAGGATAATGAGATGGAAAAAGGGTGGGACGCGATCCTAAAATAAGAACGTGGGGTCGCACCCAGCGGTGAGCATTATTTGGTTAAAATAAAAAAATCAAATAAAAAATTTCGATTTTGATTTATTCAGTTCGATTTTTTTGATTTTTCGTTAAATCAGTTTGACTAATTCGATTTTTGGCTAATCCGGTTTTCGGTTTTAAAATTAGAAATTTAATTAACCGAATTAATAAAATTTTCTATTATTATATGTAATATATAATATATAAGATATAGTATATAATATGTAACAAATAATATATTATGTATTATATATTTATATATTAATATATAATATAATAAAATTTGATTTCATAATATATATTTTATAATATATAATATATATTATATGTTATAATATATATATATATATATATATATAATAAAATATATATTATTAAAATTCGATTTTAACCAAAATAATTGAAAACCATTCGATTCAGTTATTTTGATTTTTCTATAATTTGGTTTTGATTTCGGTTTTTAAAATTTTGATTTATTCGATTCAGTTTTTAACGGAATAAACCGAATGCACACCCCTCTAGAACCAAATCAATGCGACCCCATTGAGAAAGGAAAAATCGAAAACGTATTTGAGAAAAATTATTCAGAGAGGAAACTCCTTCATCCTTCCCCGTCTACCTCCAGACATTCCAAGAGTCATATTCTCCGGCCACTTTTTCGGTGTCTTTGAACGACGATAAGACTGCATTCAAGATCTACTCGTATTAAGGATTCTATCTCTAGCTTTTTTTTTTTTGAAGAAAGATATTCCCTATCCATATATAAGAATCCTACACACTCTCTCCATTTCCCACTTCAAGCTCTCGTCCTCTGCTCTATCCTGGTTTTTGCTAGTTACCTAAATTCCTCCAAAACGAACTGCATTTTATCGAAGCTCTTCTTCTTCTCTAGCTTTTACCTTTTTTATGTATTTTATACTTTGCTTTTCGAGTAATTTATTGGAGTTGAGATGGCTGCCTTGAATGATCTCTCTTTGCCCTTCTAGGCTTTTATATAGACCAAATCGAAGAAGACCTCCATGCATTCAAGACCAAATCGAAGTAAATTTCCAAGTTTTGTTTTTATTTATTTGTTTTTTTTTTTTTTCTGTTCGCCAATCTTGTGAACCATGCATTCAAGATTCTTTCTTCTATGACTAGAGATTTCTTTTAGTGAAGATAGTAGTGGGTCAGTGGGCTTTTAAATGAGAAAAAACAAATTAACACTAACGAATTATCTACTACTGTTAGTGATTCTGACTTATGTCAGATTCTTTCTCTCTTTGTTAAATCTAGCTTGTTGTTTCATACATACATTGTTTTTAAAACCGAACCAGACCGACCGGATGGTAGGACGGGAAAAACCAGAAACCGGTCACCTGATCGGTTTCATTTTCCTCCAAAACTGCTTTTTCTCCCAAAACCGTTAATTTTGATCAGCAAACTGTTGAACCGGCTAATTAATCGTTCGAACGGTTTTGACCGTTTTCTAATTTTTTAATTTTTGTCAGAACGGGCTGGCTGTTCGGGTTGAACGGTTGGACCGTTCGAACCGGTAACCGGACCCCTGACTGATTCGGTCACCAGTTCGTTTTTAAAAACCACGGTTTCATACAATCCATTTATAGTTGCTTGTGGTTTTAGATGGGCATTCTCTTGACCATTGTCTTTTTTCATTATAGATTTTTGAGAAGAACCCAACCACGATCAAGAACTATGCATCCAGGTCATCAAGACAATCACCATTCCGGCTACAAGAGAGTCCACAATGCCAAGATCAAGTTCCCCTTGGTGTTCAAGAAGGACAGGTCTCCAACCAGGAAGCTTAGTTGAACCCTTGGTGTTCAAGGCGTCAAGGCCCAACTTGTTTATGTAATTCCTATCCATGATTATATCTTCAGAAATTGAATAGATGAATTGAGTGATCTGGAGATATTTAGATTAGGATGAAATTTTGTTATTGTTGAGAGAGACCTTTCCTTTGTTTCCTTCTTATATCAGTTATGTTTTATCTCTGATGTTTTGAAGTTGGATGATAGAGAAGCAACTTGTAGGCTTCGACATATTTGAAAATTGCAAGTTTAATGGCATGCAATTTTGCTTTTGAATTTTTTGATTATTTTAGTTTGAGAGGAGGAACCACAATCTATTGTGAAGTATATAAACACCACCCCACCGGGTGACACGCACCCAAAACACAAAGCATGGATGGTGTGTGTATATCTTAATTTTTAAAAAATCAATTTAATTGTTGTTAATATTTATAAATATATAAATTTTAATATTTGCTTTTAACATTTATTATAAAGCATTAACCAATAAAAAGAAAAATTAAAATTTAAAACTAGCCTAATTATAATAATTAATTGAAGCATGGACTTTTGGTAGATTTTTTAATGCCTCAAAACTTGGACCCTTGGTTAGGATCTCCTGGCTTTTATATTTAGTTTCTCTGTATCAAATGTGTGGTGACTGGTGAGTTAATGATATGAGTTTGAAAGAGGAGAGATTAATGGCTTAAATCATCCCGACATTACAGTACAGTATCTTGTCGATTGGTTGCAAAAAAGGACTGCTACCTGTTGTTGCATGGGGCCATGATTTTGCCATATGAAATTCAAATGACGTGGGCCCATCATTGGTCTGTATCAAATGTGATGGTTACAATCAACATATTCTAAAAATATATATAAATTGGATTATATCAACTAGTTTAGCTGTTTGGCCCTTAATTCACTTCATTAGTTCATCATACAAAATACATCAGTATAATTGTCATAATTTGGTTAGGGAAACAAATATGGGAAAATGAATTTTTCCACTATTTTCCCTTGCACAACCAAATAGAGGAAAATAAAATTTTTACACTTTTCCATCTCATCCCACCCAAACTTTCCCACAAACCAGACGGAGCCTTACTTAATATGGACTCCATGCAACCAACCATGGGTCCTAGAAATACATGAAAGGAGACAAAAGACAACTCTCTAGAATTTAGGGCTTGTTTGGTTTAGAGGAACAGGTGGTCTGGAATAAGAAATTGTTTGTATGGGTAGAATTCGCATCCCATTCCTGCTTTCTGTAAGAATGCATCCACATTTGAGGAAATGGTCCCTCTCCTTCCCAATAAAATCCCATTTCAGCTGATTCCAATTCTCATTTTGATAAAGCAAAAGAAAAAAAAATCATTCTCATTTTTGTCTGAACCAACTGGGAATCTGATTCCAATTCCACATATTTTGATTTCAATCACGATGTCAAAGGTGGTATGTGATCTTCAATCTCTCCTCCAAACCAATCTTGTGGTAGTAAAAAATTACCATGGTTCAAAGTATTGATACACCTTTTTGTATTGATAGAGGTGAATCGGTACTTTAACTAATACATATTTTATTTTATTTTTCAAAATTTAGTTTTAAGTATAATTATATTTATACTAATAAATATAAAAAGCATTTTATAAAAATACTTGTTGTAAACAGGTGTATTGGGGCCCAAAGATCTGATACGATACGCTCGATACACAGTGTATCCTATCAATACTTTGAACCTTAAAATTCCAAAGTATCGTGCATTTCCTCCTTCGACCATTGATGATAAGCATAAAACATGCTTTGATGCCATTAAGTTTCCCTTCCATGTTTTTTGTAACACAACCAGAGAGTTTCCCTATTAACTTCTTTGCTCTTTTTTTTTCCTAGGGTCATTTATTAACACACCCCTATAGTTTCACGAATTTACTTAAATCTATCTTATGGTTTGTCTTTTACTAAAACACCCCTTATAGTTTACAATCGATTTACTTAATCGACCTTCCATTAGATGACAATGGAAAATGACAGTTTTGACACTAATGTCCATTTGAATAAATTCAATCAAAAGAAAATAAAAATGAAAATACCATTTTTTCTTAAAAAAACACGAGCAATGACTCTTTTTAGTTCTATTTGCTCATTTTTTTTCTTTCAATAGGAAGAAGTGTTAAGGGGTACTTTTGGAGTAAACGATCATGAACTCATGCCCTTGAACATTTTCTACTTAGATTAGGTGATCATGTTACTATTTTCAAATGGCAAAACAAATACTTCTTAATGAAAGGTCATTAATTAAATAAATTGTAAACTATAGGGGTGTTTTAGTAAAATAAAAATTATAGGATAGGTTTACCTAAATCCATGAAATTATAGTATAATCCTTTTCTCTATCCATCCCACTGGAATCAATACCAATTCCATTCCCATAAACAACTTTGAATGTAAGAAAATCATATCTTGGTGTATAAAGTTTTTGATCTGTTTGCGGCAGCAGCCCTACCCCAATAGTTTTATGGGTAAATTTCTTAAACTACCCTTATGGTTTAGCTAATTGACTAAGTGTACCTTTACTGTTTGAAAATTGACTAACGTTAGCCCTATTGTTTTTGACAATCGATTAATACTTCCCTTACCATTAGCGCTCCTTAATATTCCGTTAACAAAAAGACAAAAAATGCTATTTTACCCTTTATTCTTCTTCAAAATTTCAAAATAAAACAGGGAAAAGGGGAGAGAGAGAGAGAGAGAGTACACGTCCAGATATCACCTTCTTCAACGAGTCTGATCTTTGATGATGGTGGATCAACTTCCGGCTGCCATTAAATTCTGGATGGAACTGGCATTGGCATGGAGGGCAGCAACAGTTTCCCTCCACCGATTATCTCTCTAGTGATCTCCTATCTCTCTATCTCTCTCTCCCCTTTTCTCTTTTCTTCTCCTTCTTTCCACCTTCCTACCGTTTCCACCACCTTTATTGGTGGTTCTCTTTCCTTCAATCTCTTGGTCATTTCCCTCTCTTCCTCTTAATTCATAGGAAGCAAAATTAATTATCTGATCATTGATTCAAGTCACCCATTAAATCACAAAACAACAGCTTCCCAAGAAAAATATTCTTAGAACAATAGATGATGCTCAAATTAGACATCAAAACAACTTCATCTGACCATTGACTTAGGACACCAATTAAATCACAAAACAACAGCTTCCCAGGAGAAAAAAAAAATAATTTTTGAATGTAAATAGATTGATTGCTTCTAAGAAAGAAAATAAGAGTTAATAGTGTTCCAAAAATTTGGGACACGGAGGTTTTTCAAGCTCCAAAACATGTTGGAGCTAAAGCATCACCACAAACGCTACCGTGCGTCTACCTGCAATGCATCTACGGTGCAGCAAGTGAGAGGTACTGTTGACCACTGACATGCTAAAGCCCTCTATCCTCTGTCTCTGCCCCGACAGATTTCTTTTTCTACCTTTTTTTTTACTTGAAGATGTTAAGAGATTGCGGGAAAATAAAAGATGGATTTGAGAGAATCACCACCATTTTCTTCTTTTTACTGGTTTCTGCCCTCTGCTTCCGACACGACAAGTAGGTGGTGCTCATTGCTGCCGATGAACTTGACAGTGCTCATTGCTACCGATGTTGGGGTGCTCATTCCTAAAATTTCCAGGTGGGGGATAGGGACAAGACGAGTGATCTTCCACGACGGTGGTTCGACCAGAGCTCTCTATGATCGGTGGAGGGAAATCATTGCTGCCCTCCATGCCAATGCCAGTTCTGTCCAGAATTTAATGGCTGCCAGAAATTGACCCACCAGTATCAGAGATCAGACTTGTTGAAAAAGGCAGTATCCGGACATGTACTCTCTCTTTCTCTCTCTCTCTTTTTCATGTTTTGTTTTGAAAATTTGAAGAAGAATAAAGGGTAAAATAGTTTTTGTCTTTTTGTTAACGGAATATTAAGGGGCGCATTAGTCTATTTTCAAACGGTAAGGGTAGCATTATTCTATTTTCAGAAATAGAATAAAGGGTAAAACAAGTATTAGTCAATTGTCAGAAATAGTAGGGGTAGCATTAGTCTATTTTCAAACGGTAAGGGTACACTTAGTCAATTAGCTAAACCATAAGGATAGTTTAAGAAATTTACCCTAGTTTTATTGATGTTCCATCAATACCCCATATATGCAATGCATATTTAAATTGCCAATGTGACAAATATATATATAACATCAATGGACAATAAAATTGAGTAGGGGCTGTGTGAATGCATAGGTTGTGGAGATGCAAGTTAGTAGGGGTGAGAATGGGTTGGTTTAGTTTGGCTCCATGGTAATGAAAGAATGGTAGGATCCATCTAATGGATGCCAGAAGGATTGCGGAATGGGTGGGTGAATTTCAAAAATTTTCCTACCTTCTCTCAACTGTGAATCGTATTCCCTAAATTTAGAATACAATATTCAAGGATCCTACTTGAACCATAATCGAACCAGATCTGAACCAAAAGGGAAGGGAAAAAATATACCTGATCCAGAGAAGCAGTATCTCCCAAAGTTGGTGTTCACACCCAAAGAGGACACCAAGATCCGCTTCTACTGAAGATAACACAACTGTATGTGGAACGGAACCAGCAGAGTGCGTCCTACACACTGGATCATTCTCAAGAATCCTTTGGAAACTCTGAGCACCAAATCTTTTTCAGTCTTTTCTGCAAGTCTGATGTCAAGAATTGATTTCTTGATTTCTTTCTTTTGGAAAGATCGAATCTTGCTAGAAGGAATGGCGGCGGCTGGAGAAGAACTCTTGGGATGAAGATGGCTGAATTGCTTCTCTTCTCTCTGGAGTGTGTATGAGATATAATCTCAGTTCATAGGATGCTTTCTTGCTTACAACCCTTGGTTCGAAATCTGATTTTTGATCTCTCTTAGGGTTTTTCCTATTTTCTTCTTGATTAAGGAACCTCATAATTAGGAGTTATCCCAATCCAAATCAGTATTTGGATAGGGGATGATCTTAATCCTATCTCCAGATTAAGTTAGCTTACTCCTAATCTTATCAGGAGGTTACTAGATTCAAATCTGATTTGAATTTGGTCTCCCAGAGTGGATAAGGTTAAAGGCTCAATCATTTTCTAACTTTAATCCCAGATACGCCCCATAGATGGGTGATCATATCAGCCCAGCTCGAAATGTGTTTTTGACCTATTAAGTGTTTAGTGCTTAACTAGTTTCCAATCTGTTGCCCAGTTGGGCTTCTTTGTATGGCGTGGGACCCAAGCATTGATTTACACACCAGCCACATGGGTTCGACCCAACCTTTATTACAAGGCCCAGCCGAATTCACTGAAAGGCTCAGTGAACCCCTGAGCCCATCACATGAACCCTATGGGCCCAACACTTACATTAAGTGGTCACTGGGTTAAGTAATCTTATAAAAACCCAAGGACTGTGGGCAGGTGCAAGATTAGCCCATCAGGTATAACCCTCAATGGTCTTACACTTAACCTCTCAGCCCTTAATGATCGAGCA